CGTGACATTAGAAACAATCTGACATTTTCTGTGCCCCTGCTTAGTGTTTAACACAAGTGGCCGCGTATTTTCAGCGCAAGCAGTTTCAGCCGTAGCGCGCGGCTTTTTTGACATACATTCCAACCTGACTTCTACCAGGCGTGAGCCTCAGCAAGACACTGAGCAGCCCAAGGCAGCAAAGCACAAGGCCACCAAGGCAGAAGATCCTTACGCCGGCTACAAATGCCTCGGGACCAACAAGGAGCGAGGAAGACTTCTCACTCTAGCATCCTTAGACGCATCCTCTACAGACAGGCAGTGTGCAGTGGCCAGGGTAGTTGACACTATGCATATCAGAGTCCAAGGCATCATCTGCCAACCTCGCAGTCACACCCCATCGCTCGAATGCTACAAGCCCAGAAAAGAACGTCTCACTACAGGCAGTCGAAAGCCAAGACCACCTCCAGAGATTATCATCTCCAATGCCGTTCCCCCCATCATTGTTGCTCCACAGCCAGTGTGACCCCTTCCCAACTTCATTAAGGTTAACACACACGCACGACCCATTCACCCTCTTCCATCCAAAGTCAGGCCCACCCTCCACATCGAAACACTCAAGAAGCAGATCTCCGCTACCTGCTTCAGACTACAACCAATATTAGGAGCATTCTGGGAGAGAATTGATCAGGACAAACGAAAGAAGGTACAACTCCTCGCATCGGAGTTAGACAAAGTCTGCGCAGACCTCTACACGGGAACTCGTGAATACACCTTCGTCGACAAACAGGTCATCAACACGTGCTGCCTAGAAATAGGAAGGATCAACTTCAAGGAGATAGGGAAGCAGCAGAGGTTAGACAAGATCGTCAGGGAGATTGGGAAAGTCAAGGACAAGCAGTACCTAGGCTTCATTTTCAATTAGTTTAACTACATCTATATCACAATGGAAGGAGCCGATCGTGTGTACGCATCCACATTCAGGCAAAGAATGGATGACATTCTGCATACAAATGTCGAGTCAGCACACGACGGAAGCATCCCACGTGCTTCGCAGCGCAATTCACCAGAACCTGCACTAGGACCGCAGGATTCTGCATTGCAAGTTGGAGGACCAGCGTCCCCAACCCCATCACTCTTACCCGCCTATGTTCCCCCCATCTGGGAATTCGATGGACACCAGTTTGAGCATCTAGAAGATGCGCTCAGACAGTCCGCTCCTGGAGAGGTTCCGGACCACATCCGTGAATGGGTTATTGTCGCAATGAAGCTCACGGTCAGTACCGAAGTCACTAAGGTCTACAATGTGCTCAGAAACAAGATGTACGAGCACAAGAAAGCCTTCAAGTCGCTGATCCAAAACAACAAGAGTGAACACTGACTCAAGGAGGGAATGCTCCAGACAGAGATCGGGAAGCTCAAGAATAGGATCCTCGCGCAAGATGCACATATGACAGTTTTGAACGATGAGCTCACGGGAACCCAGGCGGCAATGCTCGACACAGGCAAAGAAATGATGGAAATCAAGGCAGCTAATGTCAAGCTGCGACATGAGCTAGCTTCGCTCAAAGCAAGCGGCATCACTGTGACACAAGGTCAAACATCCGGCACAGTCCAATCACACAAACCCCGCATCAAAATTGCTGAGCCTCCACACTACTCGGGCAAAGGAAGTCTGGAGGATTGGCTCCAACAACTCGGTATATGGATGCGGTGGAATGAGATCAATGACGATGAGCACAAGATCACCACGGCCCTGCTACATTTGGAAGGTGGCGCATTCACATACATGTCTGAATATGTGACCAGAGCAGCAGCACGGCAGGCACTTGGCACATGGGAAGACTTCGTCAACATTCTCAAAGTGAACTACAGAACCCTCGACCTGGACAAGGATGCGCAGCAGCATCTGAAGGATATCTGTGGCAAGACGTATCCCACAATGGTATCCTTTGCAGAACAGTTCCGCCAATGGGCCACTAGGACCAACTTAGGGCACACTGCACTCATCGGTTACATCGCTGAACACCGAAGCAAGGACGTACGCCAGGCAATGGTCACACGAGACAGTCTAGGAATTTCTGACCCCATCACATGGCCAGAATATCTCAACCTATGCCTTCAATTAGAGTCCAAGTTCAGAGCTGACAAGGCAGGACAATGCAGAACAGTTACAACATCATCATCATCAGCACCACGGGCCCCGAAAGACCCCAACGCAATGGTCGTGGATCGAGTATCCACCCTCACCAAGGAACAAGAAGGATGGCTGGAGAAGAAGCTGTGTGTACGATGTGGGAAACACCCCTTCGTTTTTAAACAGCGATGCCCAGACCCCAAGTACAAAGGCAAATTCAAAATGCCGAAGCGGGGCCAAGCAACAAGGGCAATTTCTTCAAACGTGGCCTCAGACATCTCCAACGACAGCAAGGCGAGATATGAAGCAGTCCGTGCTTTCATCGCCAGCTACAACACGAAGGGAAAGGAAAAGGAGGCAGAACCGGAACCAGCTGTCGAAGCAGCTAGGATCACGGAGGTAGAAGATGATGAGGATTTTCTTCGGTGGGTTCTCTGAGGTCTGGCCAGAGTTCCCATAGACACTGTAATAGTACCTACTCGCTCTCGCATGTACCAGTATCA